GCCCCCTCCCAGCTTCTTGTGCACCTGGCAGAGCACGGGAAGCTGAAAAGTCCTTGACTTTTCCTCTTGGACATGAGGAAAAATTTCTTTACTGAAAGAGCGGTTAAACATTGGAACAGGCTGCCCGGGGAAGTGGTGGAGTCCCCATCCCTGGAAGTATTTAAAAGACGTGTAGATGAGGCGCTGAGGGACATGGTTTAGTGGGCATGGTGGGGTTGGGTTGACGGTTGGACTTGATGATCTTAGAGGTCTTTTCCAGCCGTAATGATTCTATGATTCTATGACTTAGTATAAGCACTGCTTAGCAACAACTAAACCATCGGTGTGTTATCACATTATTCTCATGCTAAATCAAAAACACAGCACTGTACCAGCTACTAGGAAGAAAACTAACTCCATCCCAGCCAAAACCAGGACAGTGATGATGCCCAGTGCTCCCTGATGCTTGTTCTCTCACCTCTGAGCAGGTATTTCTGGTGAAGAGGAAGGCGATCTGTCACATCACCTTACCTCAGGGGCTTTGGTCCCTCTTTCCAAACAGGGGAACTACTGCTGTGGATGGTGCTGGTTTTGGCATTGATCGTCCCGCCGAGCTGACCAAGGAGGATGATGAGTACGAGGCGTTCCGTAAACGAATGATGCTCGCCTACCGCTTCCGACCAAATCCATTGGTAAGGTGGTCCTGAAACCAGAGCAGGTACAGCGACAAATCCACTGAGGCTTCTGTGCGTGTCTTGTAAGGGTGGGAGCGTTTCTAGTGCTTAGCCAAGAGGGCAAACACTGTCGAAGTTTCTCTTTGATTCTGCTCTCATGTTGAATCAAATTATTGCTACCAAAACATCCATGGATGCGCGGTTTTCCTTGCTATGATTTGATTTTTTTTTTTTAGTACAAAAGCCCCTGTTTTTAGTTTTCTCTGGTACATACAAAGTATGAACTCTGCGCACAAAGGAAGCGGATGGGCTGTCCGTGAATCCATGGTTTATTTTGAATAATTGCTTTCCTGGTTGCAGAAGGCTTGTACGTGTGCCTCTGTTACGTTCAGCGTGCCAGCACACCTGGAAAGCTACATTTGTAGCTTTTGATGGAAAACCTCAGGTTTCACTGTGAGAAGTGTCACATTTCAGTGGCTTTTTCAGGTAATTAAGCTCAGATGCTCATTGTTCTGTGAAGACAGCAATTTTGATTAATTTTCTCTTGTTATTCCCCACAGAACAATCCACGACGACCTTACTACTGAGAATGTTTTTTGGGACAATGTATTTTCAAAACAATTGTAATTTTACTGTGAAATGTTATGAAACTGCATTATCATTCTCTTTATTTGCTAATATTGTAAAACTTAACTGAAGTCACAATACCATCTTTCACCCAGAAGAAAGGCCTGCGAGCCCACTCACTGCACACTCGAGTGTCATGACAACCGTGTCGTAACAAGGCCTGGGTGGTGTTCAGAGAGGAGAACGGAGCACGTGGGAACGGGGATCTTCACACGGTGCCCTGCTGACAGTGGGAGGGTAGCACCAAAGATACCAATAGGAATAGTTCAGGGACTCCATTCGTGTTTAGCTCAGTGCCATGTTACAAGGAACGCATTTTTTTTGTGTAACAGCACATCCTCCGTTGTTCAGGTACGGAGCTTGTGCTGCTCTGGGGGTGTTTTTTTGTTTGTTGTTTGTGTTTTGGGTTTTTTTTTTTAATGGCAAATACAACAAGGGACTGTCTCCGACCCAGCTTTTGGGGCTATTGTTCAGTCAGGCTGTTGTTCCCTGAAGAACTGGGTTCTGATGCTGTCGTGAAGCCCGAAGTATAGTCTGACCTTCAACTGACATTGCAAAACCAGTGCCTAGTTGTTTTACCTCTGCCCTGTGGAAGAGAAGGCGTGGATCGGTGTGGAGCGTGCCTGCAAGGGTTGAGGGGCGCAGGGCAAGTTCATTCAACTTCAGAGGTGACAGCCTCCTGGTTTCTCGAACACTAAGTTCACCCCCAGCTTCCTAGCAAAACGAGAGACTTGCTAACACTGTCTGTGGATTGGGGTGATGAAGAACCAAGCCTTCAAACACAGCTTGTCAAAGGCCATTTGGATTTTGTTGTCATGAGAAACCCCTCTACAAATACCAATTCTCTTCATTCAGTCTGTAAATAAAATAAAACTCATTTGTTCCTTAGTTTTAATCACTGAATTTTTGGAAAGAGCAAGAGTGGTCTTACTGTGGGTTTTCGTAGGCTGGGAGACTGCTCTAGATCTCTTTCCTTCCAAGCATCTTAGAGAAAACAAAGTGAGGTTGGTTGGTTTGGTTTCTTTCGCGTTTGTTTTCCCTCGGTCCAAATACTTGGCGTGTGGTTCTCTTTTGTTAATTTTTCTTAACAACGTAGAGTCAAGGACTTGGCTTTCAATAAAAACATTTGAAACGGTGAATTCAGTAGGGGTTCATTCTGAGAAAAACCGAAATGCGTGAGCGCCTTGCAGAAGCGCAGAGCTGGGCTTGTTCCTGGGGAGCACGTGGCGTGCCAGCACGCTCCCTGCAGCTTGTGCCCGGGGTTGTTGCACCTGGGATGGCTAATCAGCACGGGCAGTAATCGTGGAAGATTGGGAAATAAAGATACGAAATCTGGCAGGTCTTCTGTAGGGCCAGATTAAGGTCACTGTGACAACTGGGCTTTCCTGGTAAGTTAGGACACCCGTCCCTTCGGTTTCTCCCTGTCGTGGCAGTGCCGCTCGGTCTCCGTTCCTGGCTGGCACAAGCCGGAGCTGCTGAGCTGGTCGTCCTCAATTACCAGAGACTGGAGCCCCGCGGGCTGAAGCTGCGCTGCCCATTTCACTGCTGGGTTTTCTGTAGAAGCAGGGGCTTGCGGGGAGGCCGCTGCGAGAGCGGAGGCACTTTCAGTCTCTTTTTATTCCGAGCAGTATGACGTCCTTTCGGCACTGCCAGTGACCTGGTCACGGCGTGGCCTTTAATGCGGGGTGAGCGGGCAGGCTTGCTGCTGTTGCTGATCGGGTCTTTAAAGCTAATCTGATACTACAGCGATCCCCGTGTACTTCGTTGGCGTCGTGTTGGCAGAAGTTGGTTTAGTCCTTTATTTCAACACAGCGGCCTTGGTCTTCCTGAGCCCCTTCTCTTGATAGCTGTGTTCATCAGTAGGTGCTTTGCTCCGTTTTTTTCTTAGGTCATTCTAAGTCACACGCTATTCCCCGTGCCCTGCTGCTGGGAGCAGCAGGCGCAGGGGGTCAGTTCTGCGGAAACCCAGCGAGCCGCTCGGCGCGGTCCTCCTCCTTGCCATCGTTAGCTGCGAAGCGGGGATTTAGTCTGCGGAAACCCAATCAAAGGGGCGGCTGCTGCGGCGTGCCGAGAAGGTCACCAAAGTTGGACTCTTTTTAGCTCAGAGAGTAAATTCCTGGTGCCCGCCGTGCCAGCTGCCCGGCCGGCGTGAACACACGCGTGACTGAGCACAAGCGCCCGTGGTCAGCGCGGCACGGGGGGG